CTACTCGGTTCACCCCTTAAAATTATTCACCTTCTTTTCAAACTTTACTCATATTTATTTTTATTGTTTTTCCCTTTTCATGTATGCTTGCCACTTATTTTATTACCATTATGTGATTTTTATTTATTTCTTATTTTTTGTAGTGTGTCAATAATAGTTTATTAATAAATTAATTTATGTTGAAAAATGCTTTTGAAACAAGCGCTAATCCAGCTTTAACCCAAATAAATGTTTAAATTTTATAATATTTTTTTATTATACCCTCCATGAACAGGAAATGGTATATCCACTTTCGGACCAAATGTATGTCAATACTAGAATGAAATTTATTAAATTTTAAACCCATCGAGTTTGAAATAAGATTTAAGTTAATTATGTCAAGCCTCTCTATTTGTCTGTCTTGTATGCAAACTAGTCTCTCAGTTTTAGAGATATTTCAATCAAGCATATCAGACAGATGCTCTTTTCCATTTAAACGATCTGCCAGATCGAACTACTACAGCAGGCATACGAACGAGTTTTCATATTTGAAATTTTGGGTCATAAGTCTGTAAAATAATTAAATATTATACATTTTTGTCTACAAATATATTTTTTTTTTCACCGAAAATAATGGACGGCGGACTTTATCCATTAGCCCCCACACAACCGATTTGTTCTTGCGCGATTATTGCCGCCATTTGTTCCTTTTCGTTTTTTTTTGCCGCCAGTAGTTCACTTACCATCTGATCCTTCCTACCGAGTGGAGGTCATCCTCTCCTTCTGCTTCCCTCATAGGGTACTCCATCGAATACTTTCCACGATGGAGTGCTTTTATCCATTCGGCGTACACGATCTAGCCAGCGTAGTCGCTAACGTCTGCGGCATTTGCTGTTGCCAATGCGTTAAGGACCATAATAGTTCGATGAAATTGGGTAAACGCGAGTGAGAAAAGGTTTTGACTAATTTTCTCCTGTGAACGACCAGAAACGATTCATTTCATAAATTTTGGTATGTTTATGAATGGCATAAAAACTTCGGCATGGCAGAAGACATCGCTTCTGTCTTCTTTTTTATTTCATATATTTTTGTTTTGCGTGGGTCTTATTGTTGTTGGCGAAATGTTAGACACTATTTGCAACTAATAAGGAGTTTTTAGTTTTATTTTCAAATTTGTTTCTTACTACTGTATGTGGTAAATTTCAAATTAATATGTACCAAAAAAGACGTTCATTAAATGCAATTAATCATTGCTTGATTAGTTGTGAAAAACAACGGTGTTATAATACAAACTTCGTTGGAAATGCCCATAATTAATAAAAATTATTTTTGACATATTTTATGTAATTTTTTTAAATACAAAAATTGAAGCGTCTTCAAATATTATTATGTTTCTATAAAAATATATTTTTTAATTAGTATACACACACATAAATAGTAAAGAGATATATATACATAATCATAATATGGTTTTAGGGAATTTAGTGCTCTCAGCATAACAAGAAAACAAAAAATACACTTATACCTAAGCTGAAGATTGCTTTTATTATAGGAAGGCAATATTTAGGAGGATTTTTATATTTATGATCACAATCGCTAATTCTGAATCTTTTAAAAATATTGAATCATTTGCAGAATCAAAGTTTTAGCAGTATATTTATTATCATTTCCAATATCTAAACCTGTCAAATGCAGTATGAGGTGTGTTCAAGAAATATTGCGAATTTTGTGTTGTTTCAAAAATTACTTATTTATTCTTGAATATCTATTTTGTCCCCTTGTGTGTAATCTTCATGAGATATTATACACTTGTGCCAACGGTTTTTCCAATCTTCGAAGCACTTCAAAAAATCATTTTTTTTTATCTTGTTCAGCTTCTCCTTTGATGCAGTCTTTATCTCGCCAATCGTAGCGTAACGTCGTCCTTTCATGGGCCTCTTCAGTTTAGGGAACAAGAAAAAGTCACCGGAGGCCAGATCTGGGGAATACGGTGGCTGCGGCATCATTAGTGTGTTGTTTTTGCCCAAAAAGTCGCGCCACAAGCAACGATGTGTGAGCAAGGGCGTTGTCGTGGTGCAAAACCCAATTTTTGTTCTTCCACAAATCCGGGCGTTCCTGGCGGATTGCTTAGCGCAAATTGCGCATAACTTGCAGGTAATATTCCTTATTGACTGTTCTACCCTGTGGCAAGAACTCTTGATGCACCACGCCCCTGCAATAAATTTTTTCGTCTGTTGTTGAAGAGCTCGGGCGTCCGCCCGCTCTTCGTCGTTCACATCTTCTCGGCCTTCTGAGAACATTTTGTACCACCGATAAACGTTGCTTCGATCCAAGGTAGCTTCTCCGTATGCCACAGTCAACATTCGGAATGCATCCTCGCACTTAAATTCGTTTTTCACACAAAATTTGATGCAGGTTCTTTGATCCATTTTTTTGAATAGGTAAAATTCGGAGACCATCCAAAACACGTGCAAGCAAAGCAACTGTCAACAATTAAGTGAACATTCAAAATGGCCGAGGTTGTCAGCATAAGTGACAGATATGTGTACCAACATAACGCCACAAAAAAATCGAAATTCGAAAGATTATTCTGAAAATTTGTCGAAAAGGTTCCTAAGAAAACTGTTCCGAAAGACGACAGTGTGTATCCTATTCGAAGAAATTGTTCTTATGTATCGATTTAATTATTCATTTGATATTGATACATAAAATTATTTCAAATTAGGCACCGGACTAAAACTTGCACACGATTTTGAAATCGCATTTATTGTTATCTGTTTAAAAATGTTTTATATATTATTATTATTATTATTATTATTATGAAAAAATTAATTTTAAATTTCTAGTTGACCTTTTCCCTTAAAACGCATTGACTCATATATACTCTCTTGAATACTCTCCATATAAATTCCTTTTAATGTAGATATACTTACCTGCAACCCTACTCTGTTTCCTTTATAAATGAGGAATTGTAGGAAACATACAAAAATATATTTCTTTTATCCCGACTTGAACGTATGTTTGTCAGTCTGCTACAGCAACATCAATGTAATGCAAAACCCTGCAGGGCAAAATACTACTACTGTGTACCAGTTTATATATAACAGTTAAAATAATGGTTGTTTCATACCAGCTGATAACTAGTTCACCACAGATATTCTAAACGGTTGAACTGATTCAATGAAATTTTTTGTGTTTGTTCAGGTAGATTTGAGAGACCAACTTATTTGAAAAAAAAACTGCATTTATGGTTCTCTTCACTTAAAATTCGTTTCACTATTTCTTTCCAGGAAGTGGATCACATATAAGTCTATGTATTTGAAGCTTAATAAGGAAATTTGAAATTTTTTTGCAATTGAACAAGGTATAAAAAAAAACACAATCATAAGTGGTTGTTGTTGTTGTAGTGGAAAGTCTATTAATATGTGGTCGAAGCTTCTAGTTACGTATGTTTTATCCATTCAATACTAGTATAATTTTATTGTATAATTTTTTTTTCAAAATACTGGTATTTTCCTAAAATTTTTGCAGTCTACCTTTTTTCTGCAGGGAAGGGACGCCATTCTAATTCCGCCTTAATTTAAGTTTAGCTTTTTGGGTGTACTGTACATTATTGCAGTTTTCAGTATACATCCATATGAATATGTTTTAGATATAGAATTTTGGGGTTTATTTAGGATTATTAGCTAATTAAAACTTTTATTTTAATTTTTATTACACTTAATAATTGCTTAAAATTTAAAAGAAAAAAAGAATTTGTGTATTCGCTAAATATTTTTCATGTACTTTTCCAGTCAAACCAGTTACTTAATTTTCCCATTTAAAAATTAAATTATTTGACCCTTTTTTGTTCTATATGTATGTTTTATGGCTTAACCATATACTGAAATATTATGAAGCTTATAAAAAAGATGCATATTTTTAGGAGCTGCAATTTTTTTGCAAACAAAAAATGAACAAAGAAAGCAATGCAGACTTGCTATTGGCTGAAAACATTGCCACTAAAAGCGAGAGATGCAAATGTATGTAAATGATGACGAAAAATACATACACACACATACTATATATGTACAAACAAACTCACACTTACAGGCGATTATAATTACAGAGCAAACAAAAGAGACATTCAACGCCATTGAAAAAACCAAATGTCGCAGCGCAATAATATCGCTGCATATCAGCACTTGTATATTTGTATGTATGTACTCGTATATGCAACTTCGCTTAACTTACGAGAATTTGTTTTGGGTTTTCTCACAGTGAAAAAGTGCACTGCATTGTTGCATCTAATTTATGAGTATATAGATTTCAAAAATACATACATTTCTATGTCTTTATGTATGTATAGATCATTTAAAAATATGCATATATTTATTTATGTTAACAGCAGTTAACTATGTATTTTATTTTATTGGAGGCCAGTTAAGTGCTGTCGTGACCAAAACGAAGAATGCAAATGCATTTTTGATTTTTTATGTTTTTTTTTTTTGAAAATTTTTATATTTCCATCTTTTGATATAATTATTTTAATATGCATAAACCTTTAACATATTTTGGCGTTTAATTGATATTTTGAAGAAAATTTCGTAATTTTTACACACTCTCAACAACCATTTACACACCGGCAAAGTGGCGACAGCATTTTTAGGCTTAATTTTCGAAAATTTCCATTGCAATTTTGTAATAGCAGACGAAGAGAAATAAAACAAAAGCAGAAAAAAGCTTATCTTAATGCAACGACTACAACTGAGTTGGCGACATTAGCGCATTGGGTTTTTGTTTTAACTTTAAATCTGTATGTATACATACACAAACCTGCATATATACATACATAATTACATATTAACCACCTTAGATGGAACAAGTTTAGCTCTTGCAGAAGCTGCAATTACCAACTGTTGATAGCATCTGGTTGGTGTTGGTGTTGGTGCGTAGGGCGGTAACTGCGGCATGTAATGCTCTTTCCTAGCCTCACTATAAATACTCAATGACTTGGCTTTGTTGGGACATAAACAGTTCGATACTCATACAGTCGTAAGCCACTCAGAGCCAAAAACCTTCTCTACAAATAATAAAATGAGTGTGTTTGTGGTGAGTTTGCAAAGAACAATATAAAACAAAAGGATATTAAAGCGAAAATTCAAGCAGCTGCCTATTGGAAATGTAAAAAAAATAAATAAAAAAATTAATAAAAAAAATATTTAAGTAAAATACTAAAAAACAATTAAAAAAATACTATAATAAAATAAAAAATATATTAAAATAAATTTAAAAAACACTAATAAAATGAACAGAGGTTAGAAAAAATAATAGAAAACTATAAAAAAATATTAAAAAAAAATATCAAAAAGATATAAACGAAATAAAAAAAATTAAAGCAAATAAATAAAAATATATTTATTTGAGGAAAATATTAAAAATATAAAAGAATATATTAAAAAATTAAAATATTAAAAAATTCATTGTAAAAATGTTAAAAAATATTAAAAAAAAGTTAAATAAATATTTGAAAGAAAATTTATGAAAATTATTTTAAGAAATACTAAAATATATGAACAAAATTCCAAAAAAAAAATTTAAAGTAAACTTAAAAAAATTTATTTATTTGAGGTAAATATTAAAAAATACTAAATAAAATTTTTAAAAACTTGTTAAAAATATAAAAGAAAATATTAACAAATAAAATAATAAAATTTACCAAAAAAATTAAAAAAGGTTAAAAAAATATTTAAAAGATAGTTTATAAAAATAATAAAAAAATACATAAAAAAAAATATTAAAGATATATTTATAAAAAAAAAAATTTAAATTTATGTAAAACATAAAAAAAAATATTAAAAAATTAAAAACCCTATTGAGAAAATGTTAAAAGACCAATAATCAAAATATTTCCCCTCCACCTTCCAGGTGCTTAGTGTTTTGATTGCTGTTGCTGCCGCGCAATACGAATATGCTGCCAATTCGCTACCTCAGCAGGGTGCCGCTCAACTCTCCGAACCCATACAGCCCGTGAGTGAATTCAATAAGGAATACTATACTTACACTGCGCCCGAGCATGAGTTCGATGATGTTGCCGCTGGTGATATTGGCAATGCATTGCGTAAAAACTTGCGTGTTGTCTTCATTAAAGGACCCGAAAATACCGGACTCGAGAATGCCGCACTCCAATTGGCCAAATCGGCTGGTGATGAGCGCACAGCCATTTATGTACTCACCAAGCAAGCTGATATCGGTGATTTGGCCAACAAATTGAATAGTGTACAGAGCACAGGCAGCAAACCAGAGGTTCACTTTGTCAAGTACCGCACCCAGGCTGATGCTGAGAATGCTCAACGTGCCATTCAAACGCAATATGACTCGCTGCCTGGCGCCTCCAGCAATCACAATGGCGGTTCTGCTCCAGTCTTGGACTTTGCCAGCAAAGCACCAGCACCAGCAGCACCAGCTGCCGCACCTGCTGCTCCAGCCAACACTTATGTGCCACCACAAGCACAAGCATATTTGCCACCTAGCAGAAGGTTGTAAGCTGCACGAGTGCCACCGCGCGAATGTCGCTTTGAACTGTTGACTAGTTTTAATTTTGTTGTTTTTTTACTTTCTCTCTACTCGTTTTGTTCTTACATAAAATTTTTTGCTTTATTCATGTCATCATTTTGTATGTGGTTTTTTTCTTTGACCAGCATCAGCTGAGAGTTGGTGAAATAAAATTGTATAAAAAAAAAAAAATTAAAATGGTTTTTAAATGGATATGCCCAGTTCTTGAGGTTTTTGAGAAATTTCGAATGAAATTATATAATTAAAAATAATTTTACAATTAAACGAAATTTAAATTTTAATTTATAGAAATTCTCTTGAGTTAAGAAAAATTAGTTGAAATTGATCAGCTTTTTTTTAAAATTCTCCACTCGGCGAAGCGACTCGAGAGGCGCTATCCGCAAAATAATAATTATTCAATAGCTAAAATTTATTAATATGAAATTTTAAAATGTAATTGTTGAGAGAAGAAAGAATGTTTTTTTTTTCTGATGCTAAAAAGTGAATCTGAAAATTAAAATTGTGAAACAATCGGCGAAAAGGTGCATTTATTTCATAATTTGTTTTAAACGACTTCGATAGTAAGCTGCCTAGATACTCGAGTTGGAACATTAAAGTTTATCTCAGGTATAATCCATGAACTACAAATTAATCCATTAAGAAATTTCACTACAAAGAATGCGCCTAACATTTCTCTACGACTCTACTACCTAGGAGAGTAGGTCGATTTAGAAGCTTTAAATGTTTAGCTTTATAAGGAGCGAGATTTGTCGTAGAGCTCCATCAGAAATGTCTTAATGCACAAAGTAAATATTTTTTTTGAGCAGACTCTAACATAACGGAATGAACTTGATAATGGGGGTGCCATATCAGGCAACGATATTCTATTGGGTTGCCCAAAAAGTAATTGCGGATTCTTCATGTAGTCGGTGTTGATAAATTTTTTCAACGGCTTGTGACTCTGTAATTGTATTCTTTCTTCTGTCAGTTATCAGCTGTAGAAAAAAAGTGCGCGAAATTTTGTTTACATTTGTTTATTTGGCGTCAATTTTAATATGGAGCCCACAAAGGAGCATTTTCGTCATATTTTACTTTATTATTTCCGTACAGGAAAAAACGCGGAGTAGGTTGCTAAAAAGTTAGGAGATGTGTATGGTGATGAAGCCTTAAAAGGAAGACAGTGTCAAAATTGGTTTCTCAAATTCCGTTCTGGTGATTTTTTACTTAAAGATGAGCCACGTTCAGGTCGGCCAAATGAAGTTGATGATGACCAAATCAAAGCATTAATCGAATTGGATCGTCATGTAACTGAGCGTGAGATAGGAGAGAAGTTAAATATACTAAAATCAACCGTTCATTATCACATAAAAAGTCTTGGACTGGTGAAAAAGCTTGATATTTGGGTACCACATGTATTGAAAGAAATTCATTTAACACACCGAATCAACGCTGGTGATATGCACCTTATACGCAATGAATTCGATCCGTTTTTAAAACGAATCATTACTGGAGATGAAAAATGGATTGTTTACAACAACTTTAGTCGAAAACGATCATGGTCCAAGCATGGTGAACCAGCTCAAACCACTTCAAAGGCTGATATCCACCAAAAGAAGGTTATGCTGTCTGTTTGGTGGGATTGGAAGGGTGTCGTATATTTTGAGCTGCTTCCAAGGAACCAAACGGTTAATTCGGATGTTGACCTTCAGCAATTGGACAAATTAAATACAGCCATCAAGGAGAAGCGACCAGAATTGGTCAATCGTCAAGGTGTCATATTCCACCAGGACAACGCTAGACCGCACACATTTTTGTTCACTCGCCAAAAACTGAGTGAGCTTGGCTGGGAACTTTTGATGCATCCACCATATAGCCCAGACCTTGCACCATCAGACTACCATTTATTTCGATCTTTGCAGAACTTCTTAAATGGTAAAACTTTCGGCAAGGATGAGGCTATAAAATCGCACTTGGTTCAGTTTTTTGCAGATATAGGCCAGAAGTTCTATGAGCGTGGAATACTAAATTTACCAGGAAGATGGCAAAAGGTTATCGAACAAAATGGCAATTATATATTTGATTAAAGTTCATTCTAAATTTTATTAAAAATGCATTTACTTTCTTTTTTTTCTTTTGGGCAACCCAATAAGATTGGCCTTACCAAAGTCGAATAAAGTACTTTAGTTACACACAGTTCTTGTAGAAAATTCTTCAAAATGCAGAAAACATTTGTCTGCTAGGCCTGCTTACGAATAAAAATAATGATGGGGAGAGTTGCCACCTCCTTTTAATTAAAAAAGTAAATAATAAGATTGGTGGAGTACGAGTATTGCAATATGATCACCAGTTAAGGACCGTTAAAAATGCTTTAACTGAAAATAATAGTGAAGAGATTTGTTGCCTTTTTAATTTTTTTTTTAACAAAAATGTGATAAAATGCAGTCAGTATTTCCATATATGTAGGTATCAAGTTAAAAGATCATACAAAAGAATACGAATTAAGAAATTGTATATATATTTATTTAATATTCAGTTTCTCAAGTTCAGAAATTTCAAAATGTGAAATGTTAAAAAATCGCTTAGAAAAATTCGCACTCTTTGTAAAAATTTCGTATTTCCATTTAATTTCCCATGAAAATGCCAGTGTCAGCAATATCTGATCTAATAACATTATCGGGATTTTCATTTTTGATTTATTTTATTTTTTTCTGACTATGGAAGGTTAGAAATTATAATTTATAAACTTTATTGTAAAAAATAGCAGTTTTAATATTTTTTAAAAAGGGCTGCCACATTAATGACGTATAATAATAATATGTAAATATGTATAAAAAATATGTATATAAAAATTATGAGAAATTATTTGTATGCATTCACTTTCATAAGCGTTACATTTGTAACAATTCATTGCTAAAATCCAATTAACTTGGTAAAAGTGTAATTTTAATCATTTTAATTTTTTTTTAATTTGGAAAATAACAGCGATTATAGGTTATTTTAGGCTTCACATTTTTCATTTACTAATTTCTACTTATTTTAAAGCGAATTATAAATTCACTGCTTTTTATAAAATAATTCATTGGACCAGAATTTAGGCCTATGAGATAAACAATCTTAAATCAAACCTCAGAGTAGCAATTTTTTTGCTAGAGCTGATATACATACACACATACATATGCACATGAATAGAATCATCACTCATTGAGATTAAAGACCATCGGCAAAGCAGCCGCGTTCAAGATGCTAAATATTTTAGCTTGTGAACATGTTATGGTTATCAGCAATCAAAATTGCCGAAAACTCATTTACATACATAAATCGGCATTTGATTAGTAATTATAAATATTTGGAGTTTTATCTGCTGGCGCCATCGCGAAGAACAGAAGAAGAGAAACAGTAAAAATATGTATATGCGAGTGTCTACATATATGTGGCTTTACCTATATGTTTGTGGATACATAGAGAACATGACAGAACTTCATTAACGCGCCCAAAAATAGGCAAGATCATTTTAGATGTTTCAAATATTTGCCTAGACTTTGTTTAATGGACACCACTGTAGATGGAAAAACTTGAATAAATGTTAGTATCAGCGTATGTTATGTTAAATGTATATGTTATACCACATAATGTTGATAGATCGTTTTTCAGGAGCATCTCTTGCGCGAAGGTCGCTTATTTCAGGCTTCAAATAGATGACTCCCTGAGCGAAAACGACATCCCGATCTTCGCATTTAAATTTAATTCCACGGCGGAGGCCTTACTCATATCTCACATACCGTCGCTGGAAAAACAACACTTGTTATCGAAATCTTATAGCTGGACTTCATCCAACGTGGTGGGTAATCGAAAAGTAGAGACGGAGAATTTAGTGCCATGTAAATGTGGCAGCGAAGTAAATTTATTTTCTTCATGCTGCAGAATACATATGAGTATGTATATGTAAGACTCCTTCCTCTCAAAGTGCAATATTGCTTGAAAATCTCACCAAACACCTCACAACACCTTCTTGGCTTTCAGTCTCATCTTAGATAACGTTTGTGCCGGCTCACTGTCCTTCAACTGCCATCGTTTTCGTTTCAAGTTGTTGTGAGTGATATATTTTTCATTGTCACTCACTATCCGCTTCAGAAATATGTCGATTTTGTTCCGTTTCAGCAACGTTTTGCAGATGGAAATGAGATTTTTTTCTCGTAAGCTCTTGGGGCAGCCAAACATCAACCTATTTGGCTATCTAGACTATTTCAAGTGGTTCCAAATTGTGTGTTTTATAATGTTTAGTTCCTGGGCAATCGCAATAATGCTGGCATGATGTTCAGTCTCGAAGATTTCCAATATTTTATTGACATTTTTAACCATTGGTTTTCCACATTGTGGATCATCTCTGGAAATATACACGAAGGAGTCAAAGCTTGTGGGAAGCGTTGGCGGAGGTGACTTTTCAGAAAACCCTGCGACGGAACTCTCGTTCAGGCTACCTGATCATTTCAGAGTTATATCTGATATCTGATATCATGGAGGCTGCAGATCAAATTGGTGCCAGCGATAGTCAAATAGCAATAAAAGCACAAGGCTCGCTTACGCTAAACTCCCAATTAGTGCTGAACTGTCGCCGATTTCTACAGGAGATGAAACAAACAGAACAGACTGTCGCTCGTATGGGTCCCTGGTCACAGGGGCATCGAGGGAAAGTGCAGTAAGAATATACTTGCTAGGCGAGGTACGAACAAGCAGACAGTTTCCGATAAAGAGCGCATTGGTATACCTTTTGCTACACGTAAACTGCTTCTCTTGGAATTCACATACGAGCAAGGCACTACAAAGTGGAATGACGTTACAACCTGCCGCATAACCAGGCACACGTGGCCGAAATGGTATAAGAAGAGATCAAGATATATGTACTCCTTAAAAAGAGGCGACATGTCTGACAGGCCACTCTCTGAAAGAACGCTACACAGAAAAACTGGGGCTTCCTATAGAAGATGCAGCAGAAGTCGCAAAAAGGATAAAGAGGATGATCACCTATCTCTTATGCGTGATTTTGGGACCCTATTCCTGGTTGATCTATGCAAGATGGCTGACGTCAAAGTCATGGATCTAATGAGGTTCGTTAGAGAATCAAAATGAATGGAGAAAGAAATCTGATGGTCTAAATTTTGTGGTATCACAATGGGT